GACCTCTAGCAGTCACTTCCAACCTCAACCAGCCTGTGATTCTGTGAAATCCCTTTAAGTTCGGGAATAAGCTATCTGTTGAACCTCAGTCAGTTTTACTGAAGAACAAATTTGGTATCACCGTGAACACCCCAGGGTTTTATATATACACACGCAAAATGAATCTACATATGACCTATGAAAGTAATGAAAGAAGGGGCAGACAAACAAATCTTGCTCTGAAATCCCATCTCAGCCCAGAGCAATACTAGATTCCCATGGAAGCAAGGCAGATTCGAGTACCAACAATGTGCTCAGATACACCATTGCTTTACAGAGCTTCTCTGCAGTGAGGGGGAAGAAACATCCTTGGTACTTGCTGTCATGGAGAGATGGCCATTCACCACCGCAGAATCACACTGCTGTGCTCTGGCACATCCAAAGGAGCAGATCCAAGCACGGGGAAATAGGTCTTGTGCATCACCTCTCCAAGGGAAAGGGTTTTCCTAATGCCTCGCCTACATTTCACAAGCTGCAATTTGTGGTCAGCGCCGCTCGTTTTACCATCTGCCGTTGCTGAGAAGAGTGTGGCTCCACCATCCTTGCGACTTCTCTGCAAGTAGTTGCAGAGAGCTGTTAGATTGCTCTTCAGCCTCGCTTCACCTGGGTAGATAAGCTCAGATCCTTCAGGTTCTCTGCAGGCTTCCCAAGGTCCCTCTGTCTTGCAGTTCTGTTAGGCCCTTAATTTTGTGTCACCTGCTGATTTTCTGAGAGTGACTCTGATATATCCTGGGTCATAGGATCTTAGGATCACAAGATAGTTCAGGCTGGAAGGGACCTCAGGAGGTCTGTAGGCCAGCCTCCTGCTCACAGCAGGCTCAGCTATGAGAGCAGAGCAGGTTGCTCGGGGCCTTATCCAGCTGGGTCTTGAAAACCTGCAGGGGTGGACACTGCGCTGCCTCACTGGGCAGCCTGTTCCTCTTCTTAACTGAAGATCATGAACATTCTGGGCAATATGAGACTCAGTGATGACCTTTGGGGCGTTCTGCTTATCGCTAGCTGCTGGCTGGACGCTAAGCCATTGATCCACACCCTTGGCTCATGATATATGGCCTCACACTGCAGATTAGTACTAAAAAACCGTTTCTTTCTCTTGCTGTTGCTGGATGGTAAGAAGTCTCTTGCTGTACTTTGACGCTTTTAAACAAGCTGATTCCAAGAGCTTCAAATTAATTGCACAGGGAATGAAATCACACATTCAAAGAGCAATGCTGCTCAGGTGGTTTTCACATCCACTCTGCTCTTGCAGAGAATTGGTGTTGAATGTCAGCGTTTTGTTCATTTGGAAAGCCAGTGCCTGCTCAAGGTTTTGCTTTAAAATGAAGGATTTGGCTTGCTCCAAAGAAAATGGGGAGAGCATGAGAGGTGAGTGAAGGTGTTTCTAATGCTATGCAGAGCTATTGCTGCTTGTTAGCATGTCGTAGCCCACACTGACCGATGGCTAACAAGGAAACAGGGCTTTTTTTCATTCCCAGCCCTGTTTTCTGACCTTTAAAGCATCCTCTTCTTTGAAGTAGCATATAAAATACAAAAGCCAGGATGTCTACTGATTTTCTCCACCTCTAAAAGAAGTGTAAGAAAACAAGACAACAAATCCCTAAATGTCAAAAATCTCTTCTCCCCTGAGCAGGCGCCCAACAAGTCCTTGCAAGCTCACGCCGCAAACTCCTGCAGTCTGGAAACATGGACACTTTACTGTGACTCCTCACCTGGACAAGATGAGATGCTAAGTATTTAAAAACAGCTGTCAAGGGCCTTCCTTGCTGGGTCTCTGGCAGGGGCTAACCAGCAGCGATGTGGACCCTTGGGGATGAAGAAGTACAAAGCAAGCTCTGAGTGTCCCCTTTCAGGGTGGTGGCTGAATCACTACAGCATGAGAGTTACCGGTCCTAAATATCCTTGAGCAGGAGGGCTCCCAGACATTTTTCTTAAAACGTTGGCTTCCATGCCCTGCTGCAACTCCACAAGACCCCATTCCTTCATCTGCAAGTTTGGTTTTTAAGGCTGCTTGCCTTGCATCCAAAGGGTTTTCTAGCTGTGTTGGCTAAAAGCACATGCTAAACATGAGAGCAGCTAGGCTTTGAAGGATGAAGACAAAGACTAATTCTACTGGCCTTTCACATCATTTAAAAGAGATAAATTTGTGAACTACTCGCTAGGCCTTTGAGGGAGTCACAAAAGCTGATGAAAGGTCTTGCTTGGATTGTTTGCTTCACCAACTAGTTGGTCCTCTGTAGATAAAAACACTTTGAACTTGGGAATATTTCTGCCCTCTAAAAATGACTTGATTGTCCTTATTAAGTCTTGTAGACTTTATATATAGGAATCCTGACTATCCTTTCTCAAGTGAAGGAGAGTGAACGAGTCTGAGGAAGGTGATAGAGGGGATCAGAGACATGAAATCAAAGTGCATCTGAAAGAAGCAGAAATAACTGCCCCGTGCCAAAGGAAGTCCATCCTCTAAGCATAGACTGAGCATTTCAGAATGGGGTTACTATTTTCCTTGATTCAGGAGACTGGATGATGCTCCTCTCCTAGGATATATTCTTACTATGTGGAGGACGTACCTAGGAAGAAATGCAAGGAGGAAGGAAATATCCTCCACACTAGAAGGCAAAGAAAGAGAAAGATCAGTGCAGCAGGGCTGCCTAGGGGAGTTAGTTACACATTTATTAGCAGCTCTCCCACAGCTCTTCACAGCTCTCAGGGCTGTATGCAGCAGGATACACTGGGGTTCCCCCGAGCCCTGCATCTTGTGAGCAGGCAGCATCAGAGGAGGGATAACACCTCCTTGGCCTCCTGGTGGGTAAATTCACACCTGCCTCTTCCCTTTAGTCTCTATTGACAAATCCCAGAGAGGAGTGGGGTGGGCAAGTGTCACACGAAGAGGGGAGCCAGCACGTTGGGGTTCAGTCCCTCAGGCAGGCGGCTGACGGCAGGATTTACCCGGCGAAATGTGCACATCTGTGCCTGAGCCAGGCTTCCTAGGTAGCATGCAGAAACCAAGTCAGGGGGGCCCCCAGGGTGTGATTCATCTTAGCCTAAAGCAGATGTCTAAATTAAAGCAGATGAATCACGCCCTTGAAATTCCTGCGCTGAATATAAGCTTCTCTTACAACCAGGGAGCTTAGCTCTGCTGCAGGTATTTGGAAGCAAAGGCTTTGCCTTCTCAGCAACGCCTACAGCTGGATTTGCCCACACTGCCCTCCAGGAAGGGAAACTGAGGCACCAGCACAGGCCAAGCTCGTGCCCAGACTCCACCTTTATGATCCAGACTTGGAAGACACCTACCAGTCCTAGGGATGAATGCTTGGTTCCCTCTCAGTGGGACATGGGGAGTGAAAGAAATTAGAGGGCAAGTAGCACTCACTACTCAAGCGGCTACAACTTTATTGCAGGTAATTATGGCCAGGGAGGACTTACGGGGTTTGTCTGTGGAGGAAGGACGAGGCCAGGGGAGTAAGAGCATTGGGCAGCAGCTGTTGTGTTAGAAAGTCAGTGGGAAGGCTGCTCTGTTCGCTGTGCTGCCTTACACCAGCTTCTGAGATGTTTCTCTGCTCTGCCACTGATGTGCTGTTCAACCTTGGGCATGTCATTTAGACTTTACTAGGGGTTTTTTTAAGTTATCTTACAATAGGGTTGTCATTTTGGGAAAGAAAGTTGCAACCAGGGTGAAGAGAGTGGGACTTGGGATGAAAGGGTGACTGGTGAGGGGCTAAGTGCCAAGATCCTTGCAGCATCCCATTTCCCTGCTCACCACGTAGAAGATCTGGAGATGTTTAATCTCTCCCACAATGCTGACAGCACTTGGGCCAGAGTGAGCAAGGCAAGGAGGGCCCTGCAGTCACCAGCCCTGACTGCAGCTCTCCCCAGGAAAACAAAACCCAACAACAACCAAGTCTTCAGGTACAAGAAGCCCACTGCTTGTAGGACAGACAAGCAGATGAGTCACTGTGATCTGGCTGGGCTTGAAACCAGCACCGGGCTCACTTGTGCTTAAACCAATTATTCACTTCAAGCTCTTTTCAGATGAGTGTGGTGGATATGGAAGCAGCCACAGACACTGCAATTATTTTCATGGCAGCAGAACAGGAAACTGTGGGCTTGGGCTACACAATGAAGCTGTAGGAGATATGGGCCGAAAAAGGAAAAGCTTTCCCTCCTAATCAGATGCTCAAAAGCAGTTAAAGAAAAGCAGAGGGTGTTGGAATAGCATGGAAAATTCCTTGTCATTTAAACACTTTTTTTCTCCTTTATCACATTTGCCTTACTGTGAGAGCTGTTTCCTAAATTAATAAAAACAATCTATAGTGGAGCAAGGCAGCTAGGGGTGCTGTCAGCCTCAGCTGGCACCTATCGTGTTTGCAAATCTCAGGAACAAGCACAGACTCACCTGAACAAATAATGGGTCTTCCTGCTCCCTTATCTCTCCATGTCGCATTGTCCAGCACTCCTGCATTGTGTGTACCCAGCACAAGCCACCTCATGGCTTCGAGCCTCCTGATGTGATTAAATTTGGCGTCTTCAATAAAACCTGCAGCAATATTTCCTTCTAAAGCAGAGTGAAGATTTCATTTATCCTTCCTCTATTTTGCCAAATTCCATTTTTATTTCATTGTATAATTAATCAGGCACTGGAGCATATGACAGCTTGATTTAAATTTAGTTCTCACTTCTCCTCTGCAGCCTTGTGAGATGCAGTTGGCTGGTCGAACACAGGGTTGTATTTGTCTGAAAAACCAACACAGAAATCACCGATCTGGATCAGACCTTCGCTCCATCAAGTCTAACATCTTGTCTCCCATGGCAACCAGCATCAAGCACTTCAGAGAGCGAGAGGTGCACCAGGTGCTGGAGGAGAACACTACACCAAAGCACAACTTGCCCAAAGGGGAAGACGTTCCTAACCCTGGTGGTCCTCTGACATGAGAGGGTGGCTGTGTCCAGCACATGAAGGACGCATGCACATGCACACCCCTCCTGCAGCCTGCATAGCTGCTGAGCTTTGTGTTCAATCTGAGCGCCTGTGGGATAGTCCAATCTACTTGGACCTTGACCAACCAGGTGGAAAAAATGGTGTGTGCAAAGTCTGGAGGCTGCTCAAAGGCTTAGACCTTGTGGAAACGTCAGTGGGTAACATGGGACAGATGTGTTCTGCAACGTGCAGAACACCAGGCACTAGAAGATAAATTGTGAGGACATTTCAGTCCTGTACTGATCTCTACACCAAGGAAGCGCAGCATAGAGCTTGCTGGTGTACAGAACCGTGAGCTTTATTTGTTTTTTACCTTTTCCCCACCTAGAATTTCTTTCCTACTGCTGCAGAGTCTACAATTTTCATTCATTTCACCTTCCCCCTAAGCACCAAACATATGAAAGCTGGTTATCAGCGCTACTGTACTGACTTGCTTCTGCTCTGTGATCCCCTCCCCACGTACATGCAGGTCTGTTCCTCCGGGCTACTATTGTCATAGCTGGGCCTATGTCTTGCCTCTTGGTCATCTGATATGAGGAGTCACCTCCCAGAGCAGGACAGGGCTTAGACATGCCATGCCAGCACCTCTATGTTTCTTGGACAGGCTGCCCATGTCAGGACCTCGGGTCATGATGCAGTGGCTAGATTTGGCAGGTGAAGGGTTTGGGGCGTTGGGGTGTATGATAGGAAAGAGGATGAGGAAAGGAGCTTGGGGGTGAGATCCTGGTCTGGGAAGACACTGGGAAGAAGTTTTCATCTAAAATAGCCAACAAAGACAAATATACATCTATATATATTTGATAAACAGAGAGAGAAATGGAGAGAAAAACAGAGAGAGCAGAGATACACAAAACGCATTCATACATATATTTATACACACCACCCAAATGCAAGGGGGCCTTATTAGATCAAAAGTGAAGGATTACCTTTCAAAAAATACAATAAACCAAATCAAATTGCCAAAAGTGTGAGATTTTCCAAGCAAGAGCGGGCCGGGAAGAGCTTTCACTGGCATCTAGTGGTACGTTGCAGAGGCAGTCACTGCAGCTGATGGCACAGCTTCACTTCTGAAGTGGATTTCCCCAGGATAGCGGAGATTCTGTTCAGACTGGGAGGTCACAACTTCCAAACTGGGCTTAGAAAGAGGTGGTTTTGGACATAGCCTAACCCTGCCCTGATAACTTTGTTTACGAAGCCCTTTTGGGGATGAGCATGCGGTGCTGAGTTATTTTTGAACCTTGGGGTCATAGCAAGACATATTTGATCTCTTCTTTTCTTGGATTTTGGGGCTTTGCATGAGCCTGAGGGAGACAGCAGGCAGATCTGGTCTGTAAACTGTGCCCTGGTGGATGAATGGACACTGACACAGCTGAAGTGGCACAGTCCTGGCCCCTTCCTCCAGATCTCTCTGGCAGCAAAGGGGTCACACAAGCAGTCCCCCAGCTGCTCCAGGTGAGCCCCTCATCCATGTCCTGTCTCAACCTCTCTGCCTCCATGGAGATGGGGCTGGTTGATGGAGCTCCTGACTGGCACCATCCAAAATATTGGTAGGCAGGATTTGTGGGCAGGTATTATGGAAATGGGAAGGTATTATGGGAGTAGGAAGGATGGAAAAGATGGGACATGTTGCCTAAGGAGTCCTGCACATGAGGAATCTCGCCTCAGCTTACCTGGGGTCTACTGTGGCCTAACACTGTGTTCTCTCCTGCCTGTCCAGGGCCTGTTGTGGCACTTTCACACATCAAAGCAGAAGACCTTCAGTAAGGCAAACTGAATGAGGCTTGTGTATCTTCTGCTGTGCATGTACTGGTATAAAGATTTTTAGATTCGTGTGACTTCTTCCTTCACTGGACTAGGACAGAAGCTGGAATGTATGCGCGCCTTCATATCGATGCTGCTGCCTCACACTGCTGGTTTGTATTGGGGTAGGAAACATATCAGCAGGCTTTATCCAAGGCACATACAGTAGACTAGATCTGAACTCCAGGGACCTTGTAACCTTGAAATTCCCTGTGTGATCCGAGCCACGCACCTCACCATCTCCTGCCTCAGTTTCCCTGAATCAAAACCAAGGAGAACAGCATGTTTGCAGCCTTGTGTCATATTTAGGACAGGATTGGAAGTGCTGGCTAATGCAGGAATAAGCATAATTGTTCAGCCTCTGAGGCATGGGACAGCCCCTAATTGCTGAAGCAGCTTTTCATCATGCACATGCTCCTAAACACCGCCCCC